TTTGTGGGGTCAAATCTCACTTGTTCTCAGATCTGGACATTGCCTTCGGCCATAGCTAATCACTATAAGGAGCCCTACTTTTGATTCTCTGCCACTTCCTGTAGAGTTTAATAGTGTTTCTTTCCATTTTATGATTGAACAGAGGGCTGCTATACATAGAGAACATCAGAGAGTGGGTGAAAACTGTATTTTAGATTTTTTTCAACACTGAAATAAATTACAAGTTCAAAGGAGTCTAAAATATGTGAATTATGAGGCTTCAGAGACACTCCAGATTGTATCTAGAACTAGTGCTCTCAGGGGCTAGTGTAAAGAGGACTCTGCAAGCAGCAAATTTCCTTTGGCACCTTTGGGTAATTTGGAATGACTTTAGTTTGACTCTCAGTGACTTTTACTTAGTAACATTAAAGAAATTGATTTTTAGATTGAACATTTTGTTAATTTGGTATATTTCTACTCTTACCTATCCATGGATATTTAGATGACTTTCATTAGTGTGAAGAAAAGTAGACAATGGGAAATAAAGGATTAATTACACTTAATTTTAACTAAACTTTGAGTTCTTCATATATAGGTTAGTATTAATTTATTGGATGAATTTGCCATTTACAGCATTGAAATACATACAATGTGTATGAAATGGAGAGAAGGTAGAAAATATCCCAATGATAATTTTTAGCCCTATAATATATATACATATATATTATATGTATTTCATACACATATATTATATACATTTCATATATATATGAATTATTTGGCAAGTAAGGATAAAAAATTTTTTCTTAATGGGAATATTGCTGAATAAGCAATGGATGGAATTTCTCATAGGAAATTACACTCCATTCAAAAATATTCAAGCATGGGTATCTTACACATAACAAGCTGTCATTATATCTCTCCGGTATCAGACCAGTAATCCAATATGGCATCTTTTATAATAGAAACTTTGGCAAGACCCAGAGAAATTATTCTGTGTCACATTAAGTGTGCTCATGTAGTATAAAAAAGAAGCATAGTCTATAAGAGCTGATATATTTTATAATGTATTGTTTTTAAAATAGAGGACGTTTTCTTCAAAATTATAATTCAGCAAGTGAAATCATTTTTGTCTTTGAAAGTAGAGCAAGAGTTACTGAAAGGAAAAGATAGTAATTATAAGGATTTGTATCCATTATAAACTTAGGCTAAGAAAAAAATCAGTTTTTCTGTAAACATAACTAAATTTATTTCAGTGTATTATTTTAAGACTGTATTTATTATATATTAACAATATTAATAATATTTAAGTTTATTTTTTATCACAGAACCTTTCATGAGATATATTTTCAATTTTTAATTTGATTATGAATTATTAAAAATAATTATATTTAGTTTTATGAAATATTAAAGAATTCTGTCAAAATTAAGTGTGTCTTTATCTGTTTCATTTGCTAGGTCACTCATTCATTTTGCAAACAGTTATAGAGTGCCCTAGTGGCAATAAACTTGAAAGAAACCTGTGACCTCTACATGAGGATGGGTATTGGTTGCTGTTATTAACTCACTTCCTCTGGTGTTTTTTGCTTTGTTTTGTTTTGTTTTGTTTGTTTTTTGTGAGTGCGTCTGTGTGTGTTTTAAAATTTTATTTATTTATTTGACAGAGTGAGCATAAGCAGGGGTTAGTGGCAGAGGGAGAGAGAGAAGCTCCTGCTGAGCAGGGAGCCTGATGCAGGGCTCAAACCTAGGACCCTGGGATTATGACCTGAGCAGAAGGCAGACACCAAACCTACTGAGCTATCCAGTCACCCCTGGGTTTTTGTTTTTTTTTGTTTCATTTTCGTTTTTGTTTGTTTTTAATAAAAGTCTTAGGAGGAAAGTGAAATTTTCTTAGATGCATATTTCTATCCAAGATGGAAAAATCAAAGCTAGACTGAGAGGGCCATGTGTTTTTTTGTTTTGTATATATATTTTTAGGTAGTATATATCTGAATTCAGTCCACTAATTGATTCATTTAATAATATTTATTGAGCACCCGCCTTGTGCAGGCACTGTTCTAGATGCTGGGAACAAGAAGGTGAGTAGGATAGACAAAGAACCTCAGAAAGTTTACATTCCAATTCCCTGGGTGGGCCCTATAGGCCTGTGGTTGTGACCTTTGGTTTATATCAATGAGGAAAGGATATCTTCAGTGTTAAAGACTTCAGAAGGATTGAGGGGAATGGGAATTGAGAAGAGGCCAGTGGATTAACTGAATGGAAATGCTTTTAGAATGCAAGACAGTTAAGGACTAAGTGAGTAGTAACAATGAGGATATTAAGATATTCATGTAAGAAGGTTGGTGGATAGATGAGAGGGTGATACAGTGATATAGCAAGGTTGGAGGAAGTTTTATCTATTTTGTAGCAGGGGGAAGATATGCATATGTTTATAAACCAAGATCAAAGGGGCATTGGAGAGGGAGAGGTTGAAGATTTGAAAGGACTTTTAACCTTCTAAAATGCAAAATTGACTGTAGAAAAGGGAGTTGGAACAAGAGAAAGAGATTACAATAGATTCTTTGAAGACAAAAAGCAGTTGGAAGATGTTAGAACCTATGTACTGCTGGGCTGGGGTTTCTAGTGAGATGTGGGTCAGTTGACTTCAGTGGACACCTGAGAGATTTATCTCTAGGGGGAACCAGCCTCTGCAGAAGTTGGTAAGGGATGTGTGTGTGGGTGTAGTGTACCTAGTGTACCTCCTTTTTCCTCATACAACCAGACAGAAGGTGAGAGGTTTATTAGACTTATTATTGAGAGAAATTTAGCCAGAGAGCCTCCAGGTGGAAGGTAAGCAGGATAGTGAAGGCAGGAAAGAGGCACGGCACCAAAAACACAGGGATGAAGCAAAATTCTGTACCGAACTACGGCCTGCATCCAGATGAATACTCTTCCAAGTGGGACATAGAAAGATTCTTCTTTGGAGAAACTGAGTGTCCCTAGAGAACTAATCTTTCTACATTCACATGTGAGGGACTGTCAGTGAAATCCGCTAGCTGATCATGCTATGCCGTGAAGTTGTTCATCAGCACTGTGCGGACATACATAAAGCTTGCAATCAAAGTTCTGTGCTTCATCCTTAATGACATGTGGATTATCAAAAACCATCAGAAAGTGGAGTGTAGCTCCCAGCATGGAAGAAAGAGGCCAAACTGTCAAACAGGGAAACGAACCTGGATGAAATGATGTTCAAGGATGCAGGAAAAACATTTAAAAACCCATGTCACTGATTATTTCAGGGATTTAAAATACCGTGTTCAGGATATTTTTAAAAAGAGAACAAAAGAGGATCCTGGTAATAAGAAAAAAAAAAAAAACAAAAATTGGTGTTGAATAGATGGATTGGAAAATAAATGAGGGAAATACTCCAGAAAGTAGAATAGTAGACTAGATCATTAGGATAAGGTGTTAAGTGGTTGTCTAAGAAACAAGTTCCTAAAAGAGATAAGAGAAGATTGTGTAGAAAAAAAATAATAAAAACTTACAAAAATTTTTTTCAGTAATGTGCAGCTCATATTTGAAGATGTGTTCAATATAATGAATGGAAGAATTCCAGGAAATAGTTCTGTCGAATTCCAAAACATGTGAAATAAAGATATGATCCTAAGAGCATGAAGGTGGGAGAGTGGGGTAAAGGAGGCAGGAAATTAGAAGAAAAATGGAGACACAAGTTACTGCAGGTGGGGGTGGAGTGGGGGTCTGCTGTGTGGGTTGAGGTTTCCTTTTTAAAAAGAGTTTGGATGCAACTAACTAGTTCAAAATGTCATTTGGAAGTTTATGTTTTGGCATCACCTCTCAACTATACCTATGCTCACCTTCAGGTTTATAGGTGGTCCCAAAAAGAAATGGCAGACATCAAAGCCACATTATTTGTTACCTATCTGTCTATTTATTTGGATACACAGGAGGGTTTTTGTTTGTTTGTTTATTTTTTAAAGTAAGCTCTATACCCAGCATGTGACTCAAAACCCCAAGATCGAGACTCCCATGCTTCACCAACTGAGCCAGCCAGGTGCCCCCACAGGAGTTTCTATTATACTATTTTTATGTGGTTCAAAAATTACATAATAAAATTTTTTTGAAATTGTATAGATAATAAAGGGGAACATAAGATATATTTTAGCACATATAGGGGCTTGAGGCTGTTTTATTTAGTCATTCACTCTGTCGTCTGGTATGGAGAATATGGTCAGTTTAATAACATAAAACAAAATGGAAAAAACCATCACTCTTACTGATCAAGGTAAAACTTCCACCCTGGTTTCTTGACTGCCCATCAAGCTATTTTATACATACACAGTCTTATACTTTTCCAATGAGGATTTATTATTAGTTCACCCGTGATTCACGATCTCAGGGTGGGGATCACCATGTACCCACTTTGCCCTTCACCACCCTGGGAGAAGGATGGAAGACAAAGAGGTAGGTGGAGCCAGTTCCGTCTTCTCAGGAGATGAGCCTTCTGCCCTGTGGTCATCCCAGGCTGACATTTGGGCTGTGGGGCAGAAGGACTTCTAAACACGCCAGGACCATTCACACATGGAGATATCACCTCCTTCAGCGGTAGAAGTCCAGGTAGTTCTACTAGCAGTTCCTGGTCTGGTTGTGATTGGGCTGTGTTACTGTCCAAAGTAACAATCTGGTAGTTCTTGATTTTGGACTTGATGTCTTCCGCCATGGTGCTGACTCCTATAGACACCCCTGAGGCACCTCGCAGCTCAGCAAAGATGCCAGAATCAGATCGGACGTGGAATTAACCTTTCGTTTGCTTTTTAATGAATAACGTTACTTAAGGCAGTACAGTAATGGTCATTATGAAATTTAGTTTAATAATGGTGACTTTATAGAGAAAATTCCATTTTAGAGATTTTGTTTTATTGTAGTGGGAAAAAAATATTTTGTTACAAAGAACTTCATACCTAGATTTTTTTTCCTCACCATCTTCAGCGTTCTCACAATAATTCTTTATTTTTCTTCCCCAGTAAGATATTTCCCAAAGGCCTTCCTGATGAGTACGCCATAGCAGCTATGTTTCGAGTACGAAGAAGCACCAAAAAGGAACGATGGTTTCTGTGGCAGGTTTTAAACCAGCAGAATATACCACAGGTAAGGACACAAAGAGTTGTGCTGATGAGTTTTCTCTTACATGGTTATGCCAACTGAATCTTGGCATGGTGTGCACAAATCTGGAAGCAGATCTAGTATCTGAATATTCTTCCTTTTAGAGGAATCATCAACAGGGAAATGCAAGTGTTCTCATCATTAGGATGATCTTGCTGAGATCTGTAATATGATTCATATCTTCTCTAAAGACACTCAAATGACCCTTCTTTCATAACTGCTTCATTGACACTAATAACTTCTCTATCTCCTATCATTTCTGAAATGTATCATTTTTAGATAACTCATTCATTGTTTCATTTGAAAGTCTGGAGTAAGTAAAGAGGTGGGATAAAATATTGATTCCATCAATAAAAAGCTATTGAACACATGCTATATTCTAGTTAGTGACGACGAGATTTTTAAAAGAGTAATTCCTTTCTCAGGGAGAAAGACCTTTCTCAGGTCTTAAAAGGACAGCATCTAGGAGAACAATATACTATAGCATAGCCATGGTGTGACAGGTGCAGTGGTAGAGGTAGGCTCAGAGCTGAGTGGGGACTATGGGAACATTGATAAGACAGCTTCCTAAAATGGGGCACAGGGAGAAGGAACCTAGGAATACTTGTGTGAGTGATGACACTTGGGCAAAAAGATGAGTTTGTAAAGACTCCAGGTTGGTGGGGGGAGATGAAACTCAGTATTACTTATTGGCACCTTACATTTGGGTTTATTTCTATACCTATCCATTGAGATGTTTTTTGTTTCACTGGTCTTTTAATCTATTAATATAGTCACAATTTTATGATGGAAACATGAACTGAACTAAAAGTATATCCTTTATGAAAAGGCATTTTTCTCTACACCATGCAAATCATCACAAAGTTTCAAGAAGTCAATCTCAGTTTCTATGCTAAGAGAAATGATCCTATTCTTATTCTTTTTAAATTAAGTAACATTTAATTCTTGAATTACTCATACAGAATTATATATATACTTAGATATACATATATATATCCTCAGATGTTCTCTCAAGAAAGGAACATATTACATTCACCAGAATGCCCCATATTTAAAACATTTTCATACCTAGATATTTGCTGTTCTTTTGTATTAACAAATCTGGTGTCATCTAAAACATTTTACTAAGTGCCTCAATTATACCAACACGCATCTCTAACTTTTAATTTGTGCGCTTTAGTAATTTTGAACCCTAGTTTTGAAACATTTAATGCTAATTTGCATTTTTGCAGGTTTCTATGGTAGTTGATGGTGGAAAGAAGGTGGTGGAATTTATGTTCCGAGCTCCTGAGGGAGATGTGTTGAATTACATTTTTAAAAATCGAGAACTCCGTCCTTTGTTTGATCGTCAGTGGCATAAACTTGGCATTGGTATTCAATCCCGGGACATTTCACTCTATATGGATTGTAATTTAATTGCAAGCCGGCATATAGATGAAAAGGACACTGTGGACCTTCGTGGAAAGACTGTAATTGCAGCACGAGCTTCCGATGGCAAGCCTGTGGACGTGAGTTGTGACGTTGGTTATGAAAGAGAACTAGTAAAGTTTCTAAATTAGATACCTTATTAAAACCTTCTTTATTTAATTACTGTGTAATACATTCCCTTCTCAACACTGTTTAAATTAGCCATCAGATGTGTGAAGGCATAGCTATGTATTTCCAACTGTATTTTCACATATATTATCTTCTCTCTATTTTCACCCATTTTCTTCAGCCTGTGAATTTTAAAGAACTAGGTCATGCCTTAAAAAATAAGATTATTACAATTAAATTCTAGTAAAAAGGAACCATGTGATATAAAAAGTCAGCTTGAATAAGCTTATATGTTTTGAATAGAAAAGACTGGGAAAAGATGAACTTTAGATTAAATGGTCCCAGATTACCTGATGTTTCTACTCAAGAACAATAGGCAGTTTACTCATCCTTAGAATAGCAATAGTTTTGTATTGCAGACTATTTCTCAGAAGCCTATAATGGTTTTTCAATGTTCTGCTGGACTGAAACATAACTACTAATTGTGTCCGTAAGTCATTTGGATGAGAGCAAATGGCTAGCAATACCCTTTCAGATAAAAATCTCCTTTAAAAATCATATCTAGTGTTCAAGTGTTAATAGATTTATTAATTTCCCTAGAGAAGAAGGTGATCCTAAAAAAAATTCCTAAAAAAGTGAGATATCTCTGAATTTCATGACTTCTGACTTTCCTATGGGTAGAATGATGAGAAAACCCATAAAAATAACCTAAAAATTACCTGAATACAGGTCACTAACAGAAATTGCTAATGCAAAAAAAAAAAAAAAAAAAAAGAGAGAGAAAGAAAGAAAGAAATTGCTAACGCACATAACAGTTTAATTTTTTTTCCAAAGTTCAATTCTGTAAAAATACATATTTGGGCAGTGTATTTTTTCCAAATGTCCCTGTGGAAGCAATCATGATAGATAGATGATTAATAGATGGATAAAGATAGTATATGTGTAAATATATATTCAATAAAATATGTTTAAACTGTTCTCTTTTAGAAACAGTGAACAAATCAGTGAGAATGCCATAACTAGAGCTCAGTGATGATCAGCAAAATAGGCCAGAGTAGGAAAAACCAATCACAGAAGCAAGACATCATGGCATGGTGGAGAGTAAGCTGATTTGGGGATCAGACAGATGCGCTGTAAATCCTAGCTCATCTACTTAACTGTAATGATCTGCTAATTTATCTTGTTAGCTGTTAATTAATCTACGTCTCAGTATCCTCAGTTGAAAAATTGTGTTGTTAGAGTTACTTAGTTAAAATTATATAGAGTATGTGCAGTAGTATCTAGTATGTAGTTAGTTCCCTGTATTATTCAGGTCTAGACACTCCACTGAACCCGGGCCTAAGAGAATGGAAAAAAAAAATGCTGCTTCTCTTTCTCTCAGACATCTTGAAGACTAATGAAAGAATCAAAGTCTGTATTAGTAAATGGTGGCTTCCAATGATAATAACAGTATTAATTGTAACACAGTAATACTAGACAGACCTTTCAGAAAATTCTCTCCAAATGTAGGGTGGGAAGTGGAGACCAGCAGTTAGAACATCAGAGATGTATTTTCAGCAGCAGGTGGAGTATAGACAGATAGGGAGTAAATTCAGGGAATTCCAGCAACAGTACAAGAGAGTGGCACCTGCTGCAATACTAAAGTTAGGGACTAGAGTTTGGGATTGGAACCTCTTATAAAACTAGTGAGAGCAAAGTGAGCTCTGTTTCTAAGACTTAAAGAACTAAGCACATACTGAAATAAATTCAGAACATTTGCAGGGAGATAGCAATGAGAGAGAAATAAGTTATTGCAAGTGCAGGGTCCAGGCTCAGAGCTTGTCCTCTGAACATTGAGTGCTGTGTTCTGTGTTTCATTAACTTCTCACCCAAGAAAAGAATTGAGCCCAGAACATGGGGCTGAAAAAATACCAGGTGTGTCCTCTAAAAAGGCACAATGTAAAAATTATAATATTACAGTGGTTTCATAGTTTAGTGTGGCATCTTACTTCATTTGAGGATAAAATTAAGGCCATACCCAAAATGAGGAGGCAGAGGAATATGTTCGAAATGAAAAAAAAAAAAAAAGGCTAAAAATGTCAGTAAGAGACCTAAATGAAATGGAAGACAAGTAATATGCCTGATAACGAATTTGAAGTAATGGTGATAAAGATTCTCACTGGACTTGAGAAAGGAGTGGAAAGCCTCAGTTAGACTCTTTAGAAAGAGATAGAAAACATAAAAAAGAACCAATCAGAGATGAAGAACTCCATAACTTAAATTAAAAATACACTAGATGGAATAAATTGTAGACAAGAGGAAGCACAGTAAAGGATCAGTGACCTAGAGGACAGAGTAATGGAAAGCAATCAAACTGAACAGGAGAGAGAAAAAATAATAATAACAAATTAAAACAGGCTTAAGAAACTCAGTAACATCATCAAGCATAATGGTATTCACATCATAGGGACCCCAGAAAGGGAGCAAGAGAAAAGAGGACAGGAGATTTATTTGAATAAATAACAGCTGAAAATTTCCTGAATCTGGGGAAGGAAACACAAATCCAGATCAAGGAGACACAGAGAGCCTCATGCAAAATTAACCCAAAGAGGTCAACCCCAAGGCACATAGTAATTAAAATGGCAAAAAGTAGTAATAAGGAGAGAATTTCAAAAAGGAGCAAGAAAAACCAGTTGAATACAAGGGAAACCCCATATGGTTGTTAGCTGATTTTTCAGCAGAAACTTTGCAGGCTAGAAGAGAGTGGCATGACATATATATTCAAAGTGTGGAAAGAAAAAAAACCTGCAGCCAAGAATACACTATCCAGCAAGAAGGAGAATAGAAGGAGAGATAGAGTTTCCTAAACAAACAAAAGTTAAAGGGATTCATGACTATAAAACCAGACCTATGAGAGTAGAGTAGAAAAGAATTGAGTAGAAAGGAAAGACCAAAAGTAAGAGTAGGAAAAGTGGAAAATGCAAGAGCAATAAAATCAATTATATCTATGAAAATCAGTCAAGGAATTCACAAAACAAAAGGATGTAAAGTATAACACCATATACCTAAAATGTGACAGGGAAAGAGTGAAGAATGGGTTCAAACATAAACGACCATCAACTGAATATAGACTGCTATATGCATAATATGTTATATACAAACCTAATAGTGACCACAAATCAAAACCCACAAATCAAAAACCACTAATAGATATGCAAAAAATAAAGAAAAAGGAATCCATGTATATCACTAATGAAAGCCAGCAAATTGAGAGAGAATAAAGTGAGAGAAGAAAGGAACAGAGAAGATGTACATAAACAACCATAAAACAAGTAACAAAATGGCAATAAGTACATACCTATTAATAATTATTTTGAATGTAGGTGGACTAAATGCTCCAATTGAAAGACATAGGATGATGGAATGGATTAAAAAAAAAAAACAAAACCAATCTGTATGCTCCCTATAAGAAACTCATTTCAAATCTAAACCATGTGCAGATTGAAAGATAAAAAAACATTTATCATGCAAACAGAACTTAAAAGAAAGATAGCAATATTTATATCAGACAAATTAGACTTTTAAAACAAAGATAATAAGAGACACAGAAAGATACTATATAATCATAATAAGAACAATCAAACGAGATACAACAATTGTAAATATTTATGCACCCAATATGGGAGATCCCAAATACATAAAGCAGCTTATCACAAACATAAAGAAAGTAATTGGTAGTAATACAATAATAATAAGGAACATGAACACCCCACTTACATCAATGAATAGATCATCCAAACAGAAAATTAACAAGGAAATGGACTTTGAATAACACATTGGACCTCATAAATCTAACAGATATATTCAGAACATTCCTTCCTAAAACAGCAGAATGCATTCTTTTCAAGTGCACATGTAACATTCTCCAAAATAGATCACACATTAGGCCACAAAACAAGTCTCAACAAATTAAAAAAGATCAAAGTCATGCTGTGCATCTTTTCTGATCACAATGCTATGAAACTAGAAATGAACCACAAGAAAAAATGTGGAAAAACACAAATACATGAAAGTTAACATGCTTCTGAAAAATGAATGGGTCAACCAAGAAATCAAAAAGGAAATTAAAAAATACATGGAGACAAATGAAAATGAAAACACAACAGTCCAGAATCTTTGCGATGCAGCAAAATGGTTCTAAGAGGGAAGTTTATAGCAGTGCAGGCTAATCTCAAGAAGCAAAAAAAAATTTCAAATAAACAACCTAACCTTACACCTAAAGGAGCTAGATGAAGAACAAACAAAACCCAATAGCCACAAAAGGAAAAAAAATAATAAATATTAGAGCAGAAATACATGAAATAGAAACTAAAAACACAATAGAACAGATCAATGAAGCCAGGAGCTGTTTCTTGGAAAAAGATAACAGAATTGATAAACCTCTAGCCAGACTCATTAAAAAAGAGAGAGAGAGAGGAGAGAGAGGACTCAATTAAACAAAATCAAATGAAAGAGGAAAAATGAAAACTGACACCACAAAAAGAACAAATGATTGTAAGAGAATATTATTAAGCCATATGTTGGACAACCTGGAAGAAATCAATAAATTCCTAGAAATCTATCACTCCCCAAACTGAAGTAGGAATAGAAAATTTGAATAAACCTCCTACCAGCAATGAAATTGAATCAGTAATCAGGAAACTCCCAAAAAACGAAAGTCCAGGACTGCACTGCTTCACAGGTGAATTCAAATAAGCATTTAAAGAGTTATTAGTCTGTCTTCTCTAACTATAGGAAAAAACAGAAGAGGAAAGAAATCTTCCTAATTGATTCTATGAGGCCAGCATTACCCTAAAGCCAAAATCAGATAACGACACTATAAAAAAAGAGATCAAGGTAATGCTAACCTCATAGAATGAGTTCGGGAGTTTTCCTCCCATTTCTATTCTATTTCTATTTTTTTAAACAACTTCAGTAGAATAGGTATTATTTC